AGTGTATAGGCACAAACTCACTGTCGCTGAGGGCGAAGAGAGAGGGTATTGAAGTGGGGCAGATCACCCCTCAAACGCCCTCTCAAGGTCCCACATGGCGGTCTCGAAATCTCTACAAGAGCGAGTCTTTCGTCATCGTCGTCAAAATGTGGGCATCTCGTAATCATATACCTAGCGTGGGTGACTAACCCGTCCTGCCTGTCTTATGGTGGTATCGGCACTACACCTAGCCCGTCTGTCCTTGTCGAGAGTTCTCCACAACCCATTGTCTTGACGCCCTTTCGGGAAGTCCGAAGTAAGGCTCCGCGCTTGAGACAAGACCAGGGCTTGCGCTAAAGCTGCGAAATCCGGGTAGACCGTCGAATTGGGGAGTTTCGCCGCAACGAGGACACGGACTAGGTGGTGTGCCGTGTAACACAAATGCCGCAGATTGGTCTGGATGACCATTGGGGCAAGGGTCGTTAGCCCTTGCTTTGCGGGCAGCTTTTCTTTGTTCCCGCTCTTGCCTTCTTCTCTCTGCTCGATTCATCGTTCCTCCTTTCCTCTTGTCGCTAGTCCCGATTCCACGCTAGGCGAAATCGGTTGTATATCGAGCACAGGTATTCGTTGACTTCCTCAATCAGATACGCTACAGACGCCAGGCCTATGTTCAGGATTCTACCGACTCTCACTTGTTACGGTAGGGACTTTTGCACCTCTCTCATGGACCGGAGCCCTACGCCCTCTGTCCCGTAAGGGCATAGGAAGATGCCTGTCCTCGTAGCGCGCCATAACGAAAGCCAGGTCTGCCAGGCGATTGAGGTATTGCAACACTACTGGGCTATGCAATAGCCCCTCTTCCTTGAGGGTCACGACCCTGCGCTCAGCTCTCCTCAATATGCTGCGAGCCATGTCCAGAGCGCCGGAGGCCGGGGTCGCGCCGGGAATGATGAAGGCGTTGGGCAGCGTCATCTGATCGTTCAGCTCGTCTATCAGCGCCTCAAGTCGATCCACCATATCCGGGGTAACCACGCTGAAGTGCTTCACCAGCTTTGGGTACTCCGATGCATCGGTTGCCAGCTCACCGCCCACCACGAAGAGTTCCCTCTGCACCTCCATGATTACTTCTTTCAGCCGCTCCTCCTGCACCAGAGAGCGAGCCAATCCGAGGGCCGAGACGGCCTCGTCCACCGTGCCGTACGCCTCGCAGCGCAGGTCCGTCTTGGACACCCTGCCGCCGTACAGCAGGCCGGTTCCCCCCATCGCCGCGCTTGGTGTAAATCTTGGGCAAGCTGCACCTCCGCCCGCGAATTATAGCATAACGCCTGGCGAGAGGTTCAATCGCCGCGCCCGCATACGGCGCATCGACCGCCAAAATGATGTATCCTTTTGCCCATAGTGGCCGGCAGTTATTTGGCTTGATTTGGCGCGTACTTAATGTAAATAGAGGCCACTCCGGAGGCGACATCAAAGCGTCGATACAACTGGTCGTCTTTCTCCTGCTGGTGATAGCCCTGGGCGGCGGCATTCTCAGCCTGCTACGTCAACCCACCCTGGTCGACATAGAGATCCAGCTTCCTACTGCAACGCCATTACCGGAGATAAAAGTGTTCGTCAACGGGGCCGTGCATAGGCCGGGGGTGTACATGGTCGATCCGGAAGACAGGCTGGAGACGTCCTGGCTATGGCAGGTGGTCTCACCCAGGACGCTGACCCGTCGATGGTTAATCCGGCCCTGAGGGTCAGTGACGAGGCGCATTTCTACATACCCAGCCTTGGTGAGGCGACTCCCGAATCTACCCCCACACCCGGCGTCATCAACATCAACACCGCCACGGTGGAGGAGCTTCAGACACTCCAGGGCATCGGGGAGCAGAAGGCCGGCGACATCGTCCACTACCGCGAGGAGAACGGCCCATTCTCCAGGGTAGAGGACCTTCTGAAGGTGAGCGGCATCGGCTCCAAGACCCTTGAAGACTTGCGACCCCTGATTACGGTCGGGTAGATATGCTCCTGATTGTCATTGCCGTGTCATGGATCGCCGGGCTGCACCTGGCGACCCTTCCGGGAGCGTACTGGCTCAACGCCGTCCTCTTCCTGACGGCATCCGCTTTCCTGGCGTTTCTCCTGCGCAGCCGTGGCCTCACCCTGCTTCCCGCTCTGGCTTTGGCAGTCCTGTCTTTGGGAATGTTGAGGGCTGTTTGGCCTGCCGACGATTCGGAGCATCCCCGCACATACAGTTCTTCAACGGAAGGGACAGCATACGGGTAGAGGCGTAATCTCCTCGGACCCGCAGCCCACAGGGACGGCCTGGCGCTTCCCGTTGTCCGTCCGGCATGTGTGGATTCGTGAGCGCTGGCACGCATCCCACGGCGACCTGCTTGTTGTAGCCAAGGTCCCGCCCCGCTGGCGTAGGCCACAGGCAAAGCAAAACACCTACACGAACCCCTTGTCACTGATACAACGATACAAGCACTGAAGGTTACATCTGATGTCGAATTAATTATCCACAACAAAAAGTAGAAAATAAACAGCCCGAAAAGAATTATGAAAATGTATCTTGTAAAACACTTGAAAGCTCATATAGAGTTTAAAACCGTACCATAATCTAAAAAATGACGTAAAAACAAAACCCAAACCAAAACAACACCAAACCACCCACACCCAACAAACCAACCCAACCCCAAACCAACCAAACCCAAAAAAACACACCCAAAAAACAAACCCAAACAACCAAAAACAAACACCAAACAACCCACAAAAAAAAAAACAAAAACAAAAACAAAACAAAAAAAAAAAAAACAAAAAACAACAAAAAAACCCAACCCCCCCCCCCCAACCCCACACAAACCAAAACAAACAACACCCAACCCCAACCCCCCCCCACACCCAACCACACCACAAAAACAAAAAAAAACACAAAAACAAACCCCAACACACCCCCCCCCAAACAACCCCCAACCGCATTTCCGCTACGGCGACCGGCTCATCGTGACTGGCAAGGCGGAGGAGCCTCCCATTTTCGAAGATTTCGACTACAGGGACTACCTGGCAAGGCAGGGCGTATTCTCCACGATGGTCCGCCCCGGTGTGGAGCTGGTGGGAGAGGGCGAGGGAAACCGTCTGATGCAGGAGATACTCTCCATTCGTAACCGCCTCTCCAGAAGCCTGGAGCAGGCCTCCCGGAGCCGCACAACTCCATGGCCCAAGCCCTGCTGCTCGGACGCAGAAGCACAATGCCTCCGGAGTTGACCCAAGCCTTCCGCGACACGGGGGCGTCCCACATCCTGGCTCATATCGGGCTTCACGTTGGAGTGCTACTGGGCATCTCCATCGCCTTCAGCCGGTGGCTTCTGGGAGCGCGGCGGCAGATGTATCTCCTCGTACCGCTGCTCTCCATATGGGGATACGCCGCCCTTTCCGGAATGTCGCCCTCGGTTCAGAGAGCCGCGATGATGGGGAGCATCTACCTGCTGGGTATGGCCCTTGGAAGGCAGAACAGCATCGCTCCTGCCCTTGCCGCGGCGGCCGCAGTCATGGCCGGAATACAGCCCGGGATACTTTCGGATGTCTCGTTTCAGCTGAGCTTCACCGCGATGGCCGGGCTTGCCCTGCTGGCTCCTCCCATCGAAAGGAGGCTCTTGGTTCTACGCGCCGACGCCGGTGAAGAGGGTGGGTGGTCCAGAGCGCTGTCTTCCTCGATAGCCTCCACCGTGGCGGCCACCCTTGCTACGCTTCCGCTTGTGGCATTCTACTTCCAGCAGGTCTCCCTTGTAGGGCTGCCAACCACGCTGCTAGCCCTTCCCGCGCTTCCGATCATCCTGGGAACAGGCCTGCTCACGGCAGTCCTGGGGCTGATCAGCCCAGCCGCAGCCGAGGTAGCAGGCTGGGGCGCATGGCTGTGTCTCTCCTATCTCAAGGCAGTGGTAGGGATCTTCGACGCCATACCCGGAAACGCCATCAGGGTGGGAGGCTTTGGCGCGCTTATGGTGGTCGCGTACTACGTCGCGCTCCTGGCAGCGGTTGCCGCTCGCCGCAGGTTGCCCGCCGTTTCAGCGCGGCTGCTTCAGCCCCTTGGAGGAACATCCGGCCTGAAGGAGGTGATCGAGTCGTACCTGCCCGGCCGCCGCGTCTTCTGGGCAATGACCCTTATGGGCGTACTGGCGTCGGCGACAATCTGGACCGCCGCACTCTCCAGGCCCGACGGACGGCTGCACGTCGCATTCCTCGACGTTGGGCAGGGAGACGCCATATTCGTAGTCACTCCCGGAGGCCGTCAGGTGCTCATCGATGGAGGCGCAGACCCCCGGAGGCTCCTTTCCCACTTGGGAGAACGCGTCCCCTTCTGGGATGACACCCTGGACCTCATGGTGCTTACGCATCCACACGAGGACCACGTGGCCGGGCTGGTTGAGGCGCTGGACAGGTACGACACAGGCCTGGTGTTGGAGCGCAGTTTCGAATTCCCGTCCCCTGACTACACCCTCTGGCGGTCCGCGCTCAAGTACAAGGACACCCCTGTTCTGCAGGCAGTGGAGGGACAGCGGATACTCCTGGACCGCGGCGTTATGCTGGAGGTAATCTACCCGCCGGAAAGTACTGCTGGAGAATACTACAGCAGACGTGAACAACGCATCGGTGGTCACACGCCTTACCTACGGCGAGACCTCCTTCCTGCTCACGGGAGACCTGCACTGGGATGCTGAGAGCTACATACTGCACCGCTCTCTGCCGATAAGCAGCGACGTCCTCAAGGTCCCGCACCAGGGCAGCCGCACGTCCAGCTCGCCGGCATTTGTTCGAGAGGTAGCGCCTCAGGTGGCAGTCATATCCGTTGGAGCGGACAACGCCTTTGGGCATCCACACCCTGAGACACTGGATACCTCAGGACAATTCTGCCGGAGGATAGAGTCCTGACCACCGCCCGAAACGGGACAGTCCAGTTCTCCTCCGACGGATCGCGGCTGTGGATGCAGACGGAGCGATAGCCGCCGCGCGGGGCCTATGGACGCGCCGCTACTTCCACAACCTATCAAAGGCCAGCCGACCGTCTTCGGTCTCCTGCAGAAGGTACACGTCGGGATTGGACAGAGACTCCCAGCCCTTGTAGCCAAAGCTGGGGTCGAGGGAGCTTAGGACAAGACTCATCAGGTTGCCGTGGGTCACCGCCAAGGGAAGGCTGTAGCCGCCGTCCAGAAGCTCGCTCAGGCAAGCCCAAGCCCGCTCCAGCACCTCGCGGCCGGACTCGCCGCCGGGCGCTCGCGTGTCCAGGTCATCGAATGAAGCGCGTATCACCTCGCGCCAGTTGTCTACGGGGGCGTCGGAGAGCCTGCGTTCATTCAGGCGCGTATCCACTCGAACTGTCAGTCCGGTCGACGCGGCAAAGGGCTCGATGGTCTGCTGGGCTCGCTTGAAGGCGCTGGACACCGCTGCGTCTATCCGTCTGCCGGACAGGAAGTTAGCGAGCGTTCGGCCTGACTGAAACCTAACTCTGTCAGCGGGTCGTCAGGAAGCTGCCCGGACGCTTGGCAGTGTCGTACCAGGAGCAGTTCGCGGCCCTTATTCCCGCTCATGGCGCGGCTCAACCTCCGCTGTCTTTCCCGTGAAGAGAGACGTTTGCGCAACTTCGAACTCGTCCAGGAAGAAGCACTCTTCTAATCCATTCCTGCTTTTGGAGACCTTTGCATAACCCATAGCGTCATCCCGCAAGAATTGCCCTCACCGTCATTCCTGCGGAAGCAGGAATCTAAAAACGCTGTCTGCAAGGCTGCGATGCCTTGGAAGAAGGGCCTTAGATTCCCGTCCCCGTATCGGAGTACGGGGCAAGCTTCACGGGAATGACGGAGGAGATAGCCTCTTCTAGGAGATACACCGGAGTCTTGCAAAGGTGTCCGATGGTGGGATCCCAACCTCGCTACCTATCGATGAGGGAATGGGAACGCGAAGATGCGGCTTCACGCAGTACGGCGGCTGGTCAGGGTCAGATGATTCCGGCCGTTCTCTCGGCGGTACGTCATCTCGTCCATCATCTCACGCGCTAGGTGAACGCCAAGGCCGCCGATGGAGCGGCTCTCGATAGGACCGGTAGTATCCGGTTCCGGAGCGTCTGTCAACGGGTCGAACGCGTAGCCTCCGTCCGTTATGTTGATGGTCACAGCGTCAGCCACCGACGTAAGAGCGATCTCGATCTCGTGCTCGTTGTCGTCGTGGCCGTAGTCCATAATGTTGAGCACGAGCTCCTCAAGGACGAGGTTTATCCGGAACAAGAGGTCCGGCGGCCACTCCTCCTCCTCTGCAAAAGCCTCTATGGACTCTGTTATCCTGTCAAGCTCCTCGCGGTCTGACAAGACCGTCAGAATCAGATTCGCGCTCAAGGCTCAGCCCCCGCTCCGCCGGCCCGGGCCGACATGAATAGGTTCGCCGCTATCCGGATTGTGCTTTGCCCAAAAGTCCTTTAGCAACATAGCATCTTACTCAAAGCTCCGCCCGTTCGTTGGCATCCCGTGCTGCGGAACGGCTGTCAGGCTAGGCTCCGAGGGAAGATATAGCCTCGGCTTGGGTTGCATGAGTCGGGATGATCTTGTCGAATCCGCTGATCTGGAACACCTCGCTAATGGAATCAGAGAGGGAGCACATCCCAAACTTTGCCGACTTGCCCTGCATCTGCTTGGCCACTAGCAGTATCACCCTGAGGCCGGCGCTGCTGATGTAGGACAGATTCTCCATGTTCAGGACAAAGGTGTTGACATTGTCCTTCAACATGGTCTCCAAGGCTTCTTGGAAATCCTTGGCGTTTCCGCCGTCCACTCTGCCGGAGGCCTTGGCCACCAGGGCCCCTCCGGCCAACTCGCCCTGTATCACCAGATTCTTGGTATCGGAGACCGTCCAGGGGGCTCCTCCTCCGGCTTCCTGTCCGCTAGTTGTCATAGAGACCTCTCATTGATGGCTGTTTTTGGTTTCCGATTTACTGCCGTCGGCGAGCCGGGTGTATCCGGCGGCTATCTTGGCGCTCCGGTCGATATCGTTGCTCAATCTCACAAGCAAGACCAAGCCGGGCGCGTCTCCCAATTGACAGTTATACCACTTCCCGCGCCTCAAGGCGCAACACTGCTCATACGATACCACGACAGAAACATTCGGTAAACACCCTCGTATGAAGATGGCAATGCTACAGCGAACCCCTGATGCGCAACAGAAATATCGTTGTGGGCCGCGTTCGTATCCGTGCCTGTCCGCGGCCACCGCGCCCGCTGGGCCGTGTTCTAGACCGGCAGGTCCTGGAAGTTCATTGCGTACAGCTTGGCGTACAGGCCGTTCAGGGCCAGCAGGTCGTTGTGCTTCCCAAGCTCCGCTATTTCGCCCCTGCTGCATCACCAGTATCTTGTCCGCGTCCTGGATGGTGGAGAGCCTGTGGGCGATGATGATGGCCGTCCGGCCTCGCAGCAGCTCCTTCAGAGCATCCTGTATCAGACGCTCCGTGTAGCTGTCCACGTTGGCGGTGGCCTCGTCCAGTATCAGGATTCGCGGGTCGGCCACCAGCGCCCGGGCAAAGGCGATGAGCTGCCTCTGGCCCACGCTCAGGTTGCTGCCGCGCTCGTGGAGCACCGTCTCGTAGCCGTTGGGCAGTCGCATGATGTAGTCGTGGGCGCCAGGCCTTCGTCGCCTTCTCGATGTCCTTCTGGGTAGCCTTCCGGTTGGCGAAGCGTATGTTGTTGGCAACGGTAGTCGAGTACAGAAATGGCTCCTGGAGCACCAGGCTCATCTGGCCTGCCAGCGATGAGCGGGTGATGTCCCGCAGGTCATGCCCGTCCACCGTAATGCTCCCCTGACCGACGTCGTAGAAGCGTGTGACCAGGGCAACCATAGTCGTCTTTCCCGCGCCGGTAGGACCCACTATCGCCATCGACTCTCCCGGGGCCACCTCCACGGACACGTCGTCCAGCACCTGCACCTCCGGGTTATAGGAGAATGACACGTGGTCGAACTTCACATCCCCCGGATGGGAGGAAGCGCCTGGGCGTCCGGCTTGTCCACCAGGTCCGGCTGCACGTCCAGTAGCTCGAATATGCGCATACCCGCCGTCATGGCCCTCTGCATCATGGCGTACTGCATAACCAGGGCGCGGATGGGCTCGAAGAACCGCTGCACCAGCAGGGCGAAGGTCACCATCGTACCAAGCTCCAGGGAGCCGGTCTGCTCCATCCTGCCACCGACCACTATCAGGATTCCGAAGGCGACGGCTGTGAGCACCTCCACGGTTGGCATCAGGCCGGCGGTGAGTTTGCTGGCGTAGAGGTTGGCGTCCAGGTGCTCGGCGTTCAGCTCGTCGAACTGGGACAGGTTGACCTTCTCCCTGTTCATGCTCTGGGTGACTCGCACGCCGGTTATGTTCTCCTGGAGGCTGGCGTTCACGCCGGAAATGGCGTAGCGAATGCGCATGAAGGCTCGCCGAGCGCGGATCTGCCAGAAGATCATTATGACCACGAAAACGGGCATGACAATAAAGCAGAGCAGGGCCAGGTCCATGTTCCGGTTCATCATTACCAGAACGATCAAGATCAGACTCAGCACCTCAGCGAAGCCCACCACAAATATGGTCATGAACTCTTGGAGGGCCGTGGTGTCGTTCTGGACGCGGCTCATCAGCCTTCCCACCTCGTTGTGGTCGAAGAATTGGGTGGAGAGTCGCTGGAGGTGGGCGTGCATGTCGCTGCGCAGCTTGTACAGCACCGACATGTTGACCCTGGCCAGACCGCGCAGGTGGATGAAGTTCCCCACCAGGTTGAGGACGACTACCCCGGCGAACATCAAGCCAATCCCGTGCAGCCCTGACACCCGCTCCGGCACGGAGAGGTCGGGATCCCGCAAGTACCGGTCGATGGCCTCCCCCACCAGCACGGGCACCGCTATCTGCGTGCCGATGTACAGCAGCATCGCCACCAGGCTCACCAGGGTCATCTTCCAGTGAGGCTTCAGGTACTGCGCCAGGCGCAGGATCACGGTCTGGTCGTACACCTTGCCAAATTCCGTGTCCTCCAGGACCAGGCTGAGACGGCCGCGTATCCGGCGCACCTCCTTGACACCCGGAAGATTGGGGTTCATCCCGCCCTGGCCAAGTCCTCCCCACTGCATGGCTAGGAAGTCCCTTCCACGTTCAGAGTCCTGGTCTCAAGGCTAACCGAGGCGGCTCCCGTTCCCCCGGAGGTCAGGCTGCCGCCGCCGTTGACCTCCACCTCCTGCGGACGAAGCTGAAGCTCGTATATCTCCTGGTACGGGCCGGGCACACTCACAAGCTCCTCGTGGACACCCTGCTGCACAATCCTGCCTTCCTTCATCACCAGTATCATATCGGCGTTCTTCACGCTGCTCAGGCGATGGGCAATGACGAAGGTGGTCCTGCCCTGAATCAGCGTGTCCAGCGCCTGGCGTATGAGGTGCTCCGTCTCAGTGTCCACGCTGGAGGTTGAGTCGTCCAGGATGAGGATGGGCGGGTCCAGCAATAGCGTGCGGGCAATAGCGAGGCGCTGCCTCTGTCCGCCGGACAGGGTCACGCCTCGCTCTCCCACGTAGGTGTCGTATCCGTCCGGCATACTCTCAATGTAGTCGTGAAGCTGGGCCGCCTTGGCCGCGCGCACCACGTCCTCCATGGGAGCATCAACGGAGCCGTAGGCGATGTTCGCCCGGATAGTCGATGTGAATATGAACACGTCCTGCTGGACGATGCCCACGTTGCGGCGCAGGGAGGCCAGGGTGACGTCGCGGATGTCCATCCCGTCGACGGTTATGCGACCCTCGGACACGTCGTAGAAGCGGGGGATAAGGTGCACTACGGTGGTCTTCCCGCTGCCGGGCGCGCCCAGAATGGCGACCACCTTCGCCCTGGGGGCCTCGAAGTCCACACCCTTGAGTACCGGCGAAAGCTCACTGTACCCGAAGGCCACGTCCTCAAAGCGCACGTCACCCCTCACTCGCGGTATATCCAGGGCGTTACGCTTCTCCTTCACCGGCGACTCCGCGTCCAGAACGTAGAAGATGCGCTCGCCGGAGGACATTGCCCTGGAGAAGCTGTTGACTATCCACGCCGTCATGCGGACCGGTATGGCCAGCAGCCCCATGAACAGCACGAAGGACACCAGCTCCCCTTCAGTCATACTTCCGTTCACCACCTGAAGTCCGCCGAACCACAGGATGACGCCGGTGCCTCCGAGGAGGAAGAAGTTGTTGAGGGACGTGGTGATGGCCTGCAACCTCTCGGCGGTGAAGCCATACCTGGCAACCTCTGAGGCGTGGTAGTTGAACTTCTCACTTTCGAGGTCTTCGGCGGCAAAGGCCTTGACCACACGCTGACCGGCCAGGTTCTCCTGGAGCACCGTGTTCAGGTGCCCCATCTCCGTCCGCTCGGCCATCCAGTTGCGGCGCATCTCCAGCATGATGGTGGCCGTGCGCAATATGATGAAAGGCACAAAAACCAGGCTCATCAGCGCCAGCTTCCAGCTGGAGATGATGAGGATGACGCTGACGCCTAATATCAGGAGCACCATATACGCGCCGCGGATCAAGCCTCCCTGGATGAACATCCGCACTCCCTCAACGTCCGCCGTAGCCCGGGACATCAGGTCGCCGGACCTCTGGTTGTCGTGGAAGCCGAAGCTGAGGCGCTGCAACCGCTCGTAGAAGGTGTTGCGAATGTCGTAGGCGACCCTCTGGCCCAGGGCCTCGCCCAGGTACTGCTGCCCATAGGCTGCGACCCCTCTCAGGACGCTTATCACCAGGATGAGCGACGCCAGGAAGATAAGCGGCCCAACCTCTCCGGACCTGACCACCTCGTCCACGGCGATGCCCAGTATCCAAGGGATCGCCAGGGCGAACGCGGTTACGGCGATGGTGCAGGCATAGGCCAGAAGCAACCTTTGCTTGTACTTGAATGAAAAGCCAATAAGCCTGAGCAGGATACGCATGGTTGTATGAGTGTAATTGCCAGAGGGTTCACTGCGAACGCGCTCGAAAGGGGAGGATAGGTCAACACAATGCCCAGCGTATATTACTTCAAACACGCAACTAAGTCTAGGAGTGCGGTATATCTGTTAAACTTTAGAGACCATCGCCCTTGACGCCTTTCCTGAAAGGCCGTGTATCCTATCAGCGTTGTGACGCCTCGCAATGGCGAGTTTGAGGAGGTCGGTATGACAATGGGCGTGCCTAGATTTGGGGAAGAAAAGTTGGGATTCGACATGGACGATGGGACCGGGCTTCGGGTGGCCCACGCCCGCTTCCTGGACGAGAAGCAGTTCGACTGGAACCTGTTTGCAGGCTACGACCAACTCCGGGTATTGACCTACTCCGCCAGTGGGAAAGCCATAATCAGGATGCTGGACCAGTTCGCCTTCAACTCCTTTGAATGTGTGTTCGGATACGATGGCACACTGCGGGAGACCCATTGCATAGGTTCAGTGTGCTTTAACATTGAACCTTGGGGGCTAGTAGATACCCAAAGCGTGGACTATGGGTACTCGGTGCGAGCCAACTCCCGAGGAACCTGCATAGACAGCTGGTATCATGGAACCAGCGCCCACATGATGGATGGCTGGGACGGGAAGCGATACTACGCTTTCACTTCCAACAGGGAGTACGTATCAGGATGTTGACAAGTAGAATCGAGCTGATGCAGTCTACCGAGCCGGCCCACTGGCTTCGGGATAGACTGGCGTCGTGGTGGCGCAGAAGAGGGCACGGCAAGACTGTGGGGTGGTTAGCTCCAGAAGGCTATGACGCCTACGCTCGGCTCTACCACATGGCCGCGATACAGGCTCCCGACAAGAGTTGGGAGACTGTCCGTTGGTCGCAGCTGGCACAAGAGAATAACAAGGCGGTCCACCCTGCCATGACCTTCCGAGAGGTGGCAAACCTGGCAATAGGCGAGCATATCAAGGGGCTGGCCGAGCCGGACCGTTGGCTGAACAAACGAGAATGCCATGCATTGCTGGACGTTCTCAAGCAGTTTACGACTACGCCGGAGCGTTGCTACTTTGCCGTGTGGCGCGGCTATGGACTATTTGACGGGCAACACGGCAGGCGGCTCTTTGAATGGCAAGCGGAAGAATGGGTCGGAAAGGCATTGGTGCAGCTCTCCAGGAGGGAGGCAGACTATATCCTGCTCAGAGGGCCCCTGGATGCCATGCCGGACTTCCACGGCTGGCTAGGCGACAGGTGGTTCGGGCAAACTCCCGACATCTGGTGGCCTGAAGACAGGGCTTGGTGCATCTCTTCCGACATTGATACCCTGGACACCTGCGTTGCCGGAAGCCAAGGCTGTATTTCGGCAGTCCTTGACGCTCCAGAACTGGAGACCTTGCGGACTACGCTAGACGACATGATCAACTTGTGAGGGGTTGGCAACAATGTCATTCAGGGCCATAATATACCTACTTCTCAGATATTAGCCGCTATCCTTGAAAGAACAGGCCTAACCAATATCCGGATCGAACCCAGAAAGATCATGGCAGACCGAAGACGTTACCCTTATTGGATTAGAGGATTCAAAGGACCAATGGAATCTGAGTTCCTTGTCCACGCGAGCAAACCTTGACTGGCTTTAAACAACCCCTGTCTTCTTGGTAAACCCCCGCTCTTCAAACGCCCTCCAGCACAGACCCTTGCCTGTACAATGCCAGGGACTTATAATTGGCCTTGTTTCCAGTGCAGCAAATCTCCTCCAGCCTTTACGGAGGGTTCGGCTTGGCCAAGCCTTCCACCATCGCAATAGACGGCCCCGTAGCATCAGGGAAAACGGCCGTGGGCGGCCTCTTGGCGCTTCGACTCGCGTATCGCTTTATCGATACCGGAGTAATGTACCGGGCCGTCACCTGGGCAGCTCTCAGGGACGGAGTGAGCCCTGAGGATGAAACAGAGGTGACCGCTCTGGCGAACCGTATTCAGATAGAGGTGGCCTACAGCGACACTCTTGGCGGGCCGAGGATCATGGTGGACGGACGCGAGGTCGCAGGAGAGCTGAGGAGCAGGGACGTGGACGGGTGGGTATCACTGGTGTCGAGCTACAGTGGGGTCAGGCGGGCGATGGTGGCCCGCCAGCGCGATATGGCGAGGGAGGGTCGGATTGTCATGGTGGGAAGAGACATAGGGACGGTGGTGCTGCCGGACGCAGACCTCAAGGTATTCCTGACCGCCTCCCGCAGAGGAGCGCGCCCGGCGTCGCTATAGCGAGATGGAAGAGCGAGGCCAGTCGCCTCAGCTCGAGCAGGTGATGGAGAACCTCCTGGCCAGGGACGAGATGGACAGCAGCAGGGCCGACTCGCCGCTGCGGCCGGGAGACGACGCATACATGCTTAACACAAACAACATGGGCCTCAACGAAGTTGTGGACAACTTAGTTCAGCTAATGGACGAGCGCTGATGGGCGTAGTTTACTCCTCTGCCACATTTATGATGCGCAACGCGCTGCGCGTGTTCGGAGACTGGCAGTCGAAGGGGAGAGTGCGTGCCCCCAAGGGGCCGCTCATGTGGTGTCCAACCACCAGAGCAACATGGACCCTCCCCTGATTACCGCCAGCCTGCCCAGGCGCGTCTATTTCATGGCAAAGCGGGGCATCTTCAACGGCCCGATTCTGTCGTTCCTCCTGAAGGCCTACGGCACGTTTCCCCTCAACCGGGACGGAGGCGACCTGGCGGCTATTCAATGGAGCCTGAAGATGCTCGACAGCGGCTCAGCCATTGGCATATTCCCGGAGGGCACGCGGAGTCCTGGAGGGATGAGGCAGGGAATCCCCGGTATAGCCATGATAGCCATCAAGTCCGGGGCGCCCATTCTCCCCGTGGGAATGACCGGCACGGAGCGTACCGGTCCGCCGTGGCAGGTGGCAATGCCCAGAGGTGAGTTCAGAGTGAAGATAGGCCAGCCCTTCTCACTTCCCACGATAGAAGGCAGGGTCAGACGCGAGCAGCTCCAGTCTATGACCGATATGATTATGGAGCGGGTCTCGGTCCTGCTCCCCGACGATTACCGGGGAGTGTACGACTTGAAGAGAGCAACGCACTCGCCGGAGCGGGCGGTCGGCGCGCAGGACGGGGGCTTATAGCCTTGTGCGGCATAATTGGATACACCGGCTACAGAGAGGCTGCGCCGATCCTTCTGGACGGCTTGGCTAATCTCGAGTACCGGGGATACGACAGCGCGGAATATCCGTCATCGCCCCGGACGGCGACGTGGCTGTGAGGAAGGCCTCCGGCAAGCTGGAGAGCCTGGTGATGTCCCTGCAGGGCGCTCTCCCAGCGGGAAGCGTGGGAATCTGGGCACACCCGTTGGGCGACCCACGGCGAGCCAGCACGTCCAACGCTCATCCCCACTCCTGGACTGCCATGACGAGGTCATCGTGGTCCACAACGGTATCGTGGAGAACTACCTGGAGATCAAGGACGAGCTGGTGGACGAGGGGCACGCGTTCGCATCTGAGACGGACAGCGAGGTGATACCCCACCTGATAGAGGGCTTTCTGGGCCGTGATCGACTCTGGAGGAGGCGGTCCGCCTGGCGGCCCTTCGACTGACCGGGGCCCACGCTGCGGTGGTCATGTGCAAGCGCGACCCAGGGAAGCTCATCGCCTTCAGGGTACGCAACGCCGGGGGCATCCTGGTCGGCTACGGGGAGAAGGAGATGGTGCTGGCGAGCGATCTGCCCGCCGTCATCCCCCACCAGAAAGGTAGCCTTCCTCTCCGCCGGGGAGATGGTATCTCTCACCGACGCGTCGGCTGAATACTCATCCCTGGACGGCTCTGCTCTGGAGAAGACACCACAACACCTACCCTACGATGCGGTGTCCGTGGCCAAGGGCGGGTACAGTCACTTCATGCTCAAGGAGATAGTGGAGCAGCCCCAGGCTACCATCGCCACCCTCCGCGGTCGAATCTCCTTCGATCCCTGGGACGTTTCCCTGGATGAGCTGGAACTCACGGACGCGGACATCGATAGCATAAACCGGGTGATATTCGTCGCAATGGGGACCAGCTTCAACGCTGCCCTTGTAGCGCGGCAGATGATGGAGCAGCTGAGCGGTCTCCCTTCGGAAGCGGAGATAGCCTCCGAGTTCAGGTACAGGAGTCCCATTCTGGACTCCAAGACGCTGGTGGTCTCCATCGGGCAGTCCGGGGAGACGGCCGATACCCTGTCGGCAATGGAGGAGGCGTCCAGGAAAGGCGCACGACTCATAACCGTGTGCAACTCCGAAGGCAGCCAGGCCACCAGGCTGGCGGAGGGCTGCATCTATCTGAGGGCAGGCCCGGAGATAGGCGTGGCATCCACCAAGACCTTCACCTGTTCCCTGGAGGCTCTCTACCTACTGGCGACCTACATAGGACGCCGGCGAGGGTTCCTCTCCGCTCGGAACTGGCGAATGCCTTGAGTGACTTGGTGAAGCTGCCCGACCTGCTGAGTGAGCTGGTCTCTCGCCAGGAGCCGTACATCGCCCTGGCCGAGCGATACCACAGGAAATCCCACTTCCTCTACATGGGGAGAGGGCCGAACCATCCGATTGCCCTTGAAGGAGCGCTGAAGCTCAAGGAGATCGCCTACACGCACGCCGAGGGATGCTCAGCCGGGGAGATGAAGCACGGTCCCATAGCCCTGGTTGACGAGGGTATGCCGGTGGTAGCCATTGCCCCTCAGGACGGCCTGCGGGACAAGATGATCAACAGCATCTTCGAGGTGAAGGCCAGGGGCGCGACCGTCATTGCGGTGGCTACAGAGGGCGACGAGGAGTTGGCGGGCATCGCCGACCACGTGCTGTACATCCCGCCCGTTTCTCCCCTGCTCACGCCGGTGCTGTCCTCCGTTCCGTTGCAGCTGCTGGCGTATCACATAGCCGTAAAGCGCGGCTGCGAGATAGACCAGCCGCGAAACCTGGCCAAGTCCGTCACCGTCGAGTAGGGTCCGGCCAGGAGAGGTCTACGAACATGCTGGCAGAGGTGAGACTGCGACTGGAGCAGAGGGAGGAAAGCCTGTCCCCATTCGCTGCCAGGTCCGCAAGAACCAGGGGACGCTCGACACCCGAAGAGCCTTCGCCGCTCAGGACCGAATTCCAGCGAGACCGGGACCGCATCATCACAGCAACGGTTTCCGCCGGCTCAAGCACAAGACACAGGTCTTCATCGCTCCCACCGGCGATCACTACGTAACGCGATCTGACCCATACCCTGGAGGTGACCCAGATAGCGCGCACCATCGCAAGGGCCCTCAACCTCAACGAAGACCTGGCGGAGGCCATCGGCCTGGGCCACGACCTGGGGCACACGCCATTTCGGCCACCTGGGGAGAGGAGGAGCTGGACCGCCTGCACCCGGAGGGGTTCCACCACTCGGCCCAGAGCCTTCGAATGGTGGAGTATCTGGGCAGGAACGGTCGGGGCCTCAACCTTACCTGGGAGGTCAGGGAGGGGATCGAGTCCCACTCCAAGCCCAGAGAAGACCTTATGGGCGCTCTGAAGGGAGAGGACGTTTCCCTTGAAGCCCAGATATGCCGCATCTCAGACGCGGTTGCATATCTGAACCACGACATCGGTGACGCCATCAGGGCCGGCGTCATCTCAGAGGACAATCTGCCCCGGGACTGTAAGGAGGTCCTCGGTACGCGCCACTCCCAGCGGATCGACACTATGGTCAGCGACATCGTGAGGTCCTCCTGGAGCATCGCTGATGGGAAGCGTCCGAGCGACGGCGGAAGCCCGCCATCGCCATGAGCCCTCCTGTACACGAGGCTGCGAACGAGCTACGCGAGTTCATGTTCCGGCGCGTGTACATTCCGGCGAGCGACGGGGAGCTTGGCAGCCAGGCCAGGGAGGTAATAAGACTCCTCTACGGCCACTTCTGCGCTCACCCGGGTGAGATACCCGCCGAGTACCACATACGGCAGGACTCCGTTGAGCGGATGGCCCTGGACTACGTTTCCAGCATGACTGACCATTTCGCGCTGCGCATCGCCGAAGAGATACGGCCGGGCATCGCCGCGTTGAGCACGGCGTTGTACCGCTAGAGATTCATAGCGATCCCGATCTCTTAATCCCCCGGCCCGACCAGCCCGGCAAATATCGCACAATCCCCGTATCGACACCTTGAAGGCGTATTCAAGGCGTCTGCTACAATAGATATAGAGACCTCATCCTGTGCCAGAGGCCGCGAGCCAGCCCATGACCGTAATCCAGGACGTCAAAAGCCGCAGCGACATAGTCGACGTTGTCTCCGAACGCATCGCGCTTGCGAAGTCGGGGAGCAATTTCAAGGCCGCCTGCCCCTTCCACGCTGAGAAGACGCCGTCTTTCTACGTCTTCCCGGACCGGCAGACCTGGCGCTGCTTTGGGGCCTGCGCAGAGGGTGGAGACGTCATCTCCTTCACTATGAAGGCTGAGAACCTGGACTTCGCCCAGGCCCTCAACCAACTGGCGGACCGCGCCGGTGTGACGATACCCACCCCGCAGACCAGGAGACGGGAGGAGGCGTTGGACAGGGCGAACGAGGAGGCTTTGGACTACTTCAGAAGCCTCCTGAAATCGGATGGCGGCGAGAGGGCCAGGCAGTACCTTGAGAGACGCGGGGTGAACTCGGAAGCCGAAGAGATGTTCCAGTTGGGGTTCAGCCCCGCAGGCTGGGACACGCTGTCGCGCCATCTCAAGGGGCAGGGATACCAGGAGCAGCAAATCCTCTCTGCAGGTCTGGCTACGAGGACCGAGAAAGGAGACGTACGAGACCTGTTTCACGGACGCCTCATCTTCCCCATCTGGGACTCAGCCGGAAGGCCCGCAGGGTTCGGAGGCAGGGCATTGGACGACTCCACGCCCAAGTACCTCAACACGCCAAGGACACCGCTCTTCGACAAGGGGCGGCTCCTGTACGGCCTTCACAAGGCCAGGGAGTCAATCAGCCGCTCGGGGATTGCCGTAGTCGTCGAGGGCTACATGGACGTCATTGCGGCCCACCAGCATGGGTTTCACAACGTTGTGGCCTCTATGGGAACGGCTCTCACGGAGAGTCAGGTGAGCGCCCTGAGAAACATCGCTTCAACCTTTGTGCTGGCTCTGGACCCGGACAACGCCGGGCGGGAGGCGACGCTGCGCAGCCTCCAGTCATCCTGGCAGGTTTTCGAGCGTCGCGCCCTGAGGGCCGGGGGAAGAAGCGACGTGGTGTTCTACGAGCGTCAGCCTCACGCCTCCCTCAAGGTTGCCGTCCTCCCTCCCGGAAAGGACCCTGATCTGCTCATCCGTGAATCGCCGGAGGAGTGGGAGCGCCTGATCGCCGAGGCCAAGCCCCTGATGGACTACCTGTTCGATATAATGGCTTCCAGGCTCGACTCATCCTCCGGGCAGGACAAGCTCCAGGCCACGGAAGCCCTGTTCCCATTCATAACCTCCATGGAAAACCCCTACGACCAGGACCGGTACTTCCGGCGTCTGGCGGAGCTGATGGGCGTCAGTGAGGCAGCCCTGGAAGCCAGCATAGGCCGACCCCAGAGCCGCCGCGCGCCCGGGGGCCGGGGGGCCGGAGCGCCTCCCCGGCCAGCGCATCGCCGCTCTCAATGGCGAATCGAGACCCCCTGGAGGAGTACTGCCTCTCCCTCCTGCTTCAGCACCCGGAGCTGGTGAGAGGGGCATAGACATCTCGCCGGACTACTTCGACCTGTCCGAGAATCGCGATATATTCACAAAATGGACTGAATCTACTACAATAGATGGGTATAAGGGGAAGTCTGCCACCCGACCTGACCGAGCACTTCCAGACCCTCCTGTCTATGGAGAATCCGCCCTCCAACGTAAAAGAGAGGGCAAAGGCCCTTGAGGAAGTTGTAAACCGGCTGAAGGAGCGATTTTTCAAAGTCCAGGAGCAGGTCTTGATGGAGCAACTGGAAGGGGCCGATTGGTCGGACCTGTCAAGTTTGCAGCCCTCCCTCAACAAGGGCCCAGGAGATCAACCGCAGGCTGAAGGAGTTATTCGCCGGGTCAAGCTCAGAAACTACATGATTTGGAGAAACGTGAGAAGACGCAAGAACGATTTAGACGATCTTGATGGCATCCCGGAGGAAGAGGAGGAATCCCGTATCCCTTCGGAAAACCTCCTGTCAATAGTCGGTTCAGATTATACGGCTGAAGGCAAGGACATGGCCGTCGCTATTGCCCCACCCCAGAGCGACGTCGAAGAGGAGGATGCGGTCAGCGCCGACGGCGCCCCCAAGGAGGACACGGATGAGGCCGGCGGTGACGTGGAGGCGGAGGCAGAGGCGGAACCGGAGATGGAGGCCGACCTGGGTAGTCAGGACATGATTGACGACCCCGTCCGTATGTACCTTCGGGAGATCGGACGGGTGCACCTGCTCACGGCCAAGGACGAGCGCTCCCTGGCGCGCCGTATGGAGTGCGGCATCCAGGTCAAGAGGCTGGAGGCGGCGCTGACCTCCCCCGACGGCCGCACGCCCAGGGCCTATGAGACGGTCTTGCTGCTCATGGAGCGCCTGTGGGAGGCCACGCCTCTTGTCCACGCCCTCGGCACACATCTTGGACGCTCAGACGCCCTGAGCTTGTCCCAGGTGATGTCTGACCCCGCGGTGCTCGCCGCCATCGACAGCGAACTGAACCTGGAGATGGTGGAAGACCTGGCTGCGGAGCTGGACCGTCCCACTGACCAGGTGATAAAAGAGCTGCTGGAGTTCTCTCTCAACAGCCGTATCATTCCTCCAGATCTGTTCGAGATAGTAGACCGGGATACGCCTGTAGAGGATCTGCCTCGGCACATGGAGGACCCGGATTTCATGAGAGATCTGCGCGTCCGAGAGGTCTCCCTCAGGTCGCACTTCTCCCACATTGTGGAGGAGGGTAACCGGGCGCAGAAACACCTGGCGGAAGCGAACCTTAGGCTGGTGGTTAGCGTAGCCAAGAAGTACATCGGGCGCGGTATGTCACTGCTGGACCTGGTCCAGGAAGGGAATATCGGCCTGATTCGCGCCGTGGAGAAGTTCGATTACCGCAAGGGATACAAGTTCAGCACCTACGCAACCTGGTGGATACGCCAGGCCATCACGAGGGCCATCGCCGACCAGGCCCGCACCATTCGCATTCCTGTGCACATGGTCGAGACCATCAACAAGCTGATGCGCACCAGCCGACGCCTGGTGCAGGAGTACGGGCGGGAGCCGACCAGCGAGGAGATAGGGCGGGATATGGATGTCAGCCCCGAAAAGGTGCGCGAGATCCTCAAGATTTCCCAGGAACCGGTCTCCCTGGAGACTCCCATTGGAGAGGAAGAGGACAACCACCTTGGGGACTTCATAGAGGACCGGGGTGCAGTGGCGCCGGCGGAGGCCGCATCGTACCAACTCCTCAAGGAGCAGGTGGAGGATGTGCTGGACACCCTCAACCTACGGGAGCGGCGCGTGCTCCAGCTGCGCTTCGGGCTAGAGGACGGCCGCAGCCGCACACTGGAAGAAGTGGGCAAGGAGTTCGGCGTCACCCGCGAGCGCATCCGGCAGATAGAGGCCAAGGCGCTCAGAAAGCTGCGTCATCCCTCCCGCTCAAAGAAGCTCCGGGACTTCCTGGAGTAGTTCGAGGATATCCCGTATCACCGGAGCGGGACTCTTCGCACGAGCTGCACTGCGTTGGCTTTCGAAACCCTTAAGAAACCCACCACGATTTGTAATCGGCCCTGTGGTATTATTTCTATAGAGCCTTCTGAAAGCCCGTACTGAGCGGACCGCACTTTGGAGAGAGTGTCCGATGCGATTCCGAGTAATGGCCAGAGTGGTGTCCACAGAGGGCGGCGAAAAGTCCGTCAAAGGCGACACCTTTGAGCACGACGAAGAGGAAGAGGCGCGCAAGCACTACCTTGAGGTGGTCAAGAGGATGAGGAGATCCCACGCCTACGGCCTTCAGCAGGCGTTCCTCGAACGTCAGAGGGACGACGGACGATGGGAGCGGATAGACCAGCTGACCAAAGAGCAGATCAGGTAAATGGCTGAGGAAATGGAAGGACGCTCTGGAGACTCTGGGGAAGAACCCGATGAACCCATGATGTCTCTGGTCTCCAAGGGCCAGTTGGGAGAAATTCTAGGTACATTTAATGACTCCGAGAGGCGCATGCTTCAATTGCGTTTTGGGCTGGAGGGTGGTCGCAGCCGTACGCCGGAGGAGATAGGTAAGGAGTTCGGCGTTACTCGAGAACACATCCGGCAAATAGAGGCAAAAGCGCTTGAGTTGCTGCGAATTGAACGCCGTGGAAAACTGGATAACTTTCTGAACTAGACCCAGACAGAGGTGAATCAATTGTTGCCTTTCCTTCCCAAGTCACGTTTCGTAGCCCTCGCAGTACTTGTCATAGGCGGAGCATTGGCGCTTTCAGCTTGCACCTCTTCTCCCACGCCTGCTCCCACGGCTGAGACATCACAGTCCGCCACCTCCATGCCGTCCCCCAACCGAGGACACAGCTCCCATCATGCTCAGTTTGCCCCGGGACTTTCCCATTGAGACCTATCCTGGAGAGGAGCATACAGCGGGGACTAAACTTAGCTTCTCGGAATTCTTCGCGGACGGAAAGCCGGTGATACTGAACTTCTGGGCTGGGCTGTGCCCGCCGTGCAGGGCCGAAATGCCGGACTTCCAGGAGTTCCACGAGCAGAATATGGACCGTGTCACCCTGGTTGGCGTTGACATCGGGCAGTACCTTGGCCTTGGCAACCGGGACGACGCCGCGGAGCTTCTTGACGAATTGGGCATAACCTACCCCACAGGTCTGACCAGCGAATCAAGCGTGACCCGCGACTACAATGTCTTGGGTATGCCCACAACGGTGTTTCTCAACACGGACGGGACGGTCTTCCGGACCTGGAACGGTATCCTTACCAAGGAGCAGCTGAATGACAGGGCGGACGAGCTGCTGATGGCGCAGTAGACGACTTATTGCCGTCAATACCGCAGCTAACCATATTCATTCTGTCCAGGGAGGACCTGTGGCGCCCCACCAAAATCCAAGCTGAGGTTAGAGAGCCATGACGATAGCCAGAAATCTCTCATCGTACCTGCGGGAGCCTCAAAACCTGCGCAGCCTCGGCCTTCCACTGCTCTTAGCCGCCGCGGCCCTCGGCGTTGCGGTCGTCGGGGCGCTGATTCTGGGTCGGGACAGCGGCGTGGACGGCGTCAACATGTTCATCGAGAACCTGTCCGGAATGTCGGGCTCCTACCTGGGCAATCTTGGGTTGTTCGCTCCCCTGGGATTCGCCTTTGCAGTCGGCATGGTATCTGCGGTCAACCCCTGCGGATTCGCCATGCTGCCGGCATACCTGGGCCTGTATCTTGGCGCCAACAACGAGGGGGAAGCCGCTCGCAACCCCGTTCAGCAAATCCTCAAGGGATTGGAGATAGGCAGCGCCGTCACCCTCGGCCTCGTCGTGCTGTTTGGAATAGCGGGCACCATCATCGCCCTGGGCTTTCACTCCGTTGGGAGCGTTCTGGCGTGGCTGGGCCTTGGCATCGGCATAATCCTCACCGTAACCGGCGCGTGGCTGGTCGGCGGCGGCAAGCTCTACACCGGATTCGCCGCAAATGCCGCCTCCCGTATAGGAGACCCGGGGCAGGTGAACGTCAAGGGCTACTTTCTCTTTGGCATCAGCTACGGCATAGCCTCACTGAGCTGCACCCTGCCCATCTTCCTCTCCGTGATAGGAACTTCCTTCGCCGCCTGCCACCATTCTCACCTCATGAGCCAGTTCCTGCTCTACGGAATGGGAATGGGCGTAGTTATCATGGTGTCCTGACACTTGGCGTGGCTTTCTTCAAGAGCGCAATGTTGGACCATACGCAAGATGCTACCCTACGTTGGGCCCAATAGGTTCTTGGCTCATGTGATGCCGCGCCTACATAGTGTTCTACTGGCTCACCATCGGCGGACTGCTGTAGACTAGCTGCCCGGCAAGAGTTCGCTAGTCCCCACCGAAGAAGCGACGAGGGTTGTCCACCATCATGGTGTGTATGGCCTCGTCGCTGACACCAAGCTCTCGCAGGCGTGGGAGCACGACCCGGTTGATGAAGCACACCTCGTCCGGGTTGTAGGTATTGCGCTCCTCGTTCATCTCCGGCGTCAGCAGGAAGGAGAGAGGATAGTCGTGGGACAGCGTCACACGGTCGACCAGACCCATATCCAGCAACTCCTTAACTACCCGGGTGCGCTCCTCCCACTTTGGGCCCTGGACGCGGCCTCCGGGATAGCGGTCCATACCCAGGTAGCAGCCCTGCCGGATCAGTCCCGATAGATAGTCCAGGTCCTCCGTGTCGTTGCTGTGCCCGATGTACACCCTGTTCAGGTCTACACCCTCCTCGAGGAATATCTGCACCTGGCCGTTGCCCACCCTTTCGGGGGCGGCAGTATGGGTAGTGATGGGCACGCCGGTGTGATTGGAGGCGCGGGCAGCCGCGCGCAGTACGACCTCGTTGGCCGGCGTCACGCCCTCCTCCGTAGTGGCAACCTTGATGACCCCCGGCTTGATGTCCGTCCCGTCGAGGCCCACCTCTATATCTCTGATGAAGGCCTTGGCCAGCTGGTCCGGGCTCACACCCCTGGCAATGGACCTGGGGATGTCCACCCATATCCCCGTGGCAGCAATTATGTGCACGTCCACCTGCTCAGCAACGGTCCGGATTACGCCTATGTCCCTGCCCAGGTCCATAGTGGTTACGTCCACGTAGGTCCGCACGCCCTCGGCCGCGGCGTCCTTCAGGGCGGCTATACCCCGGGCGATCGCCTGGTCACGGTCGACCAGCTCAGGAAAAGTCTGCGGTATCCCCGCGGAGCTGTTCAGCACGTGCTCGTGCATCAGGGTGAATCCCAGGTCGTTCACGTCCACGGGACCCAGGACACTGTTTACGGTAGGCATAGCACACCTCCAAATAAGCGCTTATAGCAACGGCGACAGTAGGAGGTTACACCGTATGCAGCGGCGGTGTAAAGGAGAGCGGGGGACTCGCGTTTGCTGATAACCCAAGTTGGTGGGGAGCTATACGCCCATGCGCGCCAGGGTTTTCATCATCCACGCTATGTAGTTCTTGCGGGACATTCCCCGGCTCCGGGCCTGCGAGGTTATTGTATTCGCTACGTCTGCGTCCAAGACAAGGTTGAGGCGAACGCTGGGCTTTGTCCCGCGCTTCCCTGACCAGGAGGATGGTTGTAAGCGCACAGCCTTCGGGGACTTCCACGTCCTCCAGCGCGCTTGGGGCAGCCAGCGGAAGCCCGTCCTTCTCCATCTCAATAGCATAATCGCTAAGAACCTCGCTGGCATTGGCGAGTACTTCCTCAATCGTATACCCCATGGCTCCAATGCCGTCTATATCCGGGAACCAGATACCGTAGTCGCTCCCTCCACCTTCAATGATTGCAGGATATCTCATTTCCAGTTCTCCAAACCAATGTAATTGGCGCTACTGTGGATTCTCCTAAGTCTCATCTCGCCTTCCTCACCGCAAGACGCATTCGCGCCACCAGCACCTGGGGGATGTTGTGGAAGTGCGCCCAGCTCAGAGGCCGGTCCGCCCTGGCCTCCGTTCCCTCCGGCAGCGACGGCTCCTCCATCCAGTCCAGGACGAAGCCGTGCCTGAAGCAGATGTTGAACAGCATACCAATTGGCCTGTGGAAGTAGTACTGGGGCTCCGGCTGTCCCACTATCCCCAAGCCCATGTGCATGTATGGAATCGAGTAATCGGTGACTATGGCCCCGAATGTGGTTACGAGCTCCCCGTCCAGGTCCTGCTCCTCGGCTATCCTGCGCGCCCTGCCTGAATTGAAGACGGGGTGCGTAACTGAGAAGACGAACCTGCCGCCCGGCTTAAGCAGCGCGGGCAGCGTGGAGATAAGCGGCTCAATGGATGCCATATCCATCAGGCCCATTGTGCAAACGGCCGCGTCGAACTGCTCCTTGCCCAGCGACTGGAGCGCCTCAGGGTCGGATGCGTTCATAACCCTGTAGTCGATCCTGTCGGCGTTCTCCGTTGTGCGTTGGCGCGCCCGCCGGATGAAACGCTCCGAATGGTCGAATGCTACGACCTCCGCGCCAAGGGCAGCCATGCGTCGGGCGAAGCGGCCCGCTCCGCAGGCTATGTCCAGCACCCGCTCGCCGGGCTGCAGCTCCAGCATTCGCTCCGTAGTGGGTTCCAGGAGAAGGTCCTGGGTCGGGTTGCCGTCGCCTATTCGGTCGTCCCACCACTCGGCGATGCGGTCCCAGACCTCCGTCGTCCTGTCAGCGTACTCTGCAAAGTCGGGCGAGATGGAATCGTTCATTATGCAGACCCTCCGGGTTACTCCAGCGACTCCATTAGGCCGGGGCGTGCAACTCTACCTGGATCAGCGGGCTGTCCTCAACCCAGGCATCCACGTCCATGGGACGCCCGCCCTGCCGCTGCTCCGCGAGCTTGGCGAACACCTCCCGGCGTTTGGACTCCACGGTAATGAGGGTGGCCGTAGCCGGGATGTCCATTTGAACGCTCTCCTTCAGGTGGAAGGTGAACTGCGGATTGGCCGCCAGGTTGGCCAGCCAGTCCCTGCGACCCGGAATCCCGGCGATGAAAAGCCCGTCATCCAGGACGTGGAATCCTATCTCCACACGGTGCGGACGACCGCTCTTTCTACCCGTTGTGGTTATATCGATCAGCCTGTCTTTCTCAAGCGCCTGTGCAATAGCTTCATTCACGATGCTCCTCCCGCGGTCGATGCTCTGAGGTCATTATACCAGCAGCACATCCGTAGCGTCCGTTTACCGCACGGGCATGCGCATCAATCGTACTCCCGATCGGTCAGGGAGTGTCCAATTTTCCCTGGATGCCCGCCCCCGCATCAAGTCATGTCCCCGACTTTCCGATCGGGGAGCAGGGCAAGCTTCGCGAGCGTGACAATAGAGCGCGCAAACGTCCATTGGCCTTGACGTTGGAATACGGGAGAAATAGAATATGCCAGCAGACAAGCACCTCCATATGGGGTACAACGTTGGCAGCTAGCAATAGGATAGAGTATCCGGTTTCGGCCGGCGGGGTGGTGTACAGGGTAACAGAGGAGTGGCGTAGAGATCGTCATCGGCGGTTTTCGTTCCCAGGAGGGTTGGACTTGGGGACTTCCCAAGGGCACCCCTGACCCTGGAGAGACTATGGAGGAGACGGCCCTGCGTGAGGTGAACGAGGAGACGGGGCTTAGGTGGCCCTGGAGGCTCCCATAGACAACATCCAGTATTGGTTCGTTAGATCCAGCGACGGCGTCAGGTCTGTCACAACGCACTTTCGTCCACTTCTATACCTGCTCGAGCACCAATAGGAGGGTCCCATCAGCTGAGCACGACCAGGACTAGTCCCGGACGCACGTGCACTGGCGCCATAACGCCACCAGCACACGGCCCTTCACCGCAACCTGTGACCTACGAACGAGCGCTCAAAGATCTGTGGAGAATCGCTATGAGCATCGCGTGTCCCCGCAAACGTCGAAGAGCCCACTAACGGCCTCATCATCATGATTAGGAGGAGACCTGACTCTCCCCGATTTCGCGGGAGAAGAGATGTGGAAGGACGCTGCCCATTCTCGACTACTCTCTGGCGTGCGTCGATGAGGAGCTCTCGGCTCTGGACGCCACCACTCCCCTGCGAATGTCCTACAACAGCTTCGCGCCGCCTCTGCTGTAGGCGAGCTGCGGCATCTATCCGTCCCGTGTCCAGAGCGGTTTGCCGTGGAGATCTCTTCGACGGGCGAGAGCTGATAGGCAACTGCATGTACTACGATATAGCATGCAATGTTGCCAAGGGCCCGGCGGAGCGTCGGCATTAGTGTCGGGGACATGGTGACGTGTCGACTGTGACCAGGGCTACGTGGGCCATTACGGTACGTGCCGCTAAGATCGCTGCGGCCAGCCACGTGTTCTCCACTCTCCCACGCACTTCCCTGAGAAACGCATATACCTCCACACTCTGACTGGAACCTGCGGGCGCAGAAGTCCTTCCAGAAGTCGCCGCGGTTTGTCCCACTGATGGATTGTCGAGATTGCTCCAGGAGACCGGCTCCGTCGAGTTCCTCTGATGACTTATGAGGGACAGGGTGGGGAGACCCTGGCGGCTGAGCGCGCCGGTCAAGCGGAGGGCTAGCTTGCCGGGGATTCGACAAGACGGCAAAAGAGTGGCACAATTATCGATATGGAGTGCTTCCTGTAGCTCAGGTGGCGATAGTGAGCATCAGATCGTTGTGTCCTAAACCGAGTGCCGGCCGGGTATTCGAGTCCGGGCAGGGGTACTACCATAATTATAGAGATGCGGGATCGGTGTATATTCTTCGTGACGATGATGTCAGGAGTGTGTAGCTTCTCAGCCTCGGTTAGAGCAACGGTCTCCAAAACCGTAGGTCGTGGGGTGTGTCGTGAATCCTCCCACGTTCTTCGCTTCCTGCCGAAATCCCAGGATATCAGAAGAACCGGCCGTGATGTTGGGTGGAATTGGCAGCACCGCGGTCTGTGAGCGTCTCGTGGGTGACAAACCCGTAGGAGTTCAAATCTCCTCCTCGGCACCAAAAACATGGTAGAATAGTATTGTCGAGGCGACGTAGCCAAGTGGTTAAGGCGGAGCTCTGCAAAAGCTCTATTCGGCGGTTCGAGCCGCCGTCGCCGCCTCCACCGTGAAAAGCGTATAGTGAGCAGAATGGGAACAAACACCCCTTCTGCTCTTTTATTTAGCCCTCATATACTGCCCAGGTGGCGAAAGGGTAGACGCGGCGGACTTAAAATCCGCTCCCCGCAAGGGGGTGTGGGTTCGAATCCCTCCCTGGGCACCTGAACACCAATGCTAAAGGTGTCGCAAGTCCCCATCGTTGATATAATATGCACTGCATGAGGATGCGCCGGGCGCCCCAAGAACCACAACACCACACACGGAGTAAGCAATGCAGCAACCCGAAGCGACCGAAAGCATAATGGAGACACCTGCGGGCAGCAGGTTGGGCATCGAGGAATCGGCGGCGATAGAGGACGCCCTTACCTTCATGCTGGACGAGGCAAGCCAGGACCGGGACGGGGAGGACACCCTGTCCCGCGAGGGACTGCAGACATACATGAGCACCATAATGCAGCAGGTGGGAATGAGGTGGTATGTGACGCGCCTCCTCCCACAGGTGGGGCCGGCTCATCGGAGATGGGCTGGACGTGGTCGCCAACGCGGACGGTCAGCAGACCATGGTGAGGATTGAGCAGACCCCTTCTCAGAGCGGCCTGGACGAGGTCTACGGCCTGCTTGCCAACTCAGGGCAGCTGATGTGCAGGGCAGGCTCTATCTGGCGACCGACATCCTGAACGGCAACTCCCTGGTGTTGGGGACCCTGACACGGGCCATTAAGAGCCTCATGGACGTAGAAGGGGTGGGGGTCATCCTGGTAGACAAGCTCTTTATTCTCATTTGCCAGAACCACGACCAGACTGATGCTGGAGGAGATGCCCCACTTCATCTTCCCAAGCTCCCAGGCCGGCCAGGCTCTATAGCCGCCTGCGTGTTGGGGCCTATTCGAACCACAGGCGATACACCCCCCAGCCGGACTCGCCCCTCCGCACGATTGCGCTGACGGGCCTGCTGGACCCGGTATGGTATCTTATGCTCCCCTGTATATAGCCGTCCTCTTTGCCGTTGAAGCTATAGGCAATCTCCAAATCCGCATAGCCAAAATACAGCTCAGGTTCGGAGGACACCCCTCGGCTGTATAGGGGGCCCTGCTTGCCGGGGCCCTGGTAAAGCTGATCGTAGGCCAGGCTGTCGTTGCCCAGGGCCGCCGCCTCAAGGTAGCTGCGCAGAGGGGCAGCCACGTCGCCTTCGCCGGGATGGGTCAGCCGGTCATACGTGTTCATCACCAGGTACGTGAGGACAACTCCGGCCAGGAGTCCCAGGACCGCCCCTGAGATAAGCCATATCTTTTTTCTCATGGCTCCTCTACCATCCGCGCTGGTCTTCCGACTTGCTGGGGCAGCGTTTGAACGAGGCATATCAACACCTATTGTGCCAGAGAATACTCCTTAAGAATACCCGTACCACCTCGACTCCAGGTAGGAGACCTTTGAATAACTCTCTCTGCGCATAGACCACCCCTGCGAAGCTTGTCCTCGTGGAAACGGGGAACGGGGGGTCTACTGGGCACTATCAGAGGTATCCTGGATTCCTGCTTCCGGAGACCTTTGCAGAACTCCGGTGTATCTCCCAGAAGAGGCGAACTACTCTGTCCTCCCGTGAAGCTTGCCCCGTACTCCGATACGGGGACGGGAATCTAAAGCCCCTATTCCAAGGCATCGCAGCCTTGCAGACAGCGTTTTAGATTCCTGCCTCCGCAGGAATGACGGTGAGGGCAATTCTTGCGGGATGACGCTATGGGTTATTCAAAGGTCTCCTTCCGCTTGCCCACTTCCACAGGCGGGCTTGGGGTAAGCAATGAATCTCTGCCCATTAGAGCGCTGCGGATTTGCTATAATCGGCTTCGTGAAGAGTCTGGCTTTGCATTCCTGGGACGTAGAAGCGCGGGAGGCCGTAGAGATCCAGCGCGACCTGGCCTCCAGGGTGAGCGCGGAAGACGGCTTTGAGGCCCCGCCGCGCTACGTGGCGGGAGTGGACATATCACCGCCGGACGCCGACGGCAACGCGGTGGCGGCCGTAGTCCTCCTGGAGCTGCCGGACCTCCGGACGGTCGAGGTCAAGGTGTACAGCGGAAAGCCCGGCTTCCCCTATGTGCCCGGGCTGCTCTCCTTTCGGGAGTCCCCCCTCGTCCTGGGAGCGTTGGAGCGATTGGAGACCGCCCCGGACGTCATTCTCGTTGACGGGCAGGGCCTGGCCCACCCCAGGCGGTTTGGCATAGCCTGCCATCTGGGGCTTCTGACCGACACGCCCGCCATCGGGTGCGCCAAGTCGATCCTCAGGGGGCGGCCGGACGATGATCTGGACTCCGACGCCGGGGCGTACGTTCACCTGGTGGACAAGGGAGAAGTGGTGGGCGCCGCAGTCCGCACCAGGAAGTCGGTCAGGCCCGTATACATCTCCGTGGGCCACAAGATCAGCCTGGGGAGCGCGATAGAGTGGACGCTGGCCTGCTGCAAGGGGTATCGTATACCGGAGCCTACCCGGTTGGCCACCCTGGCCGCTGCGGGCCGGCTCTCGTGACATCGGCGCTCTTGATGGGGTTGCCGCTTTAGATGACAAGAAAGGTGTAACGCAATGCAGGAACTCAGAGGACGCGCAGAAGACCTGAAGGAGAGGATAGCCCAGTCTGCTGGAGCGTCTTTGACGTACCCGGCAAAGAAGTAGAGATAAAACAGCTTGAGGCCCGGGCCGGTCGACCAGAGTTTTGGGACGACCCCCAGGCCACCCAGCCGCATATGATTCGCCTGGCGGAGATCAAGGACGTGGTGGAGGTGTGGAGAGACTTCGAAAGCCGCGCTTCGTCGGCCTGCGACCTGATAGCGCTGGCCCTGGAGGAGGACGATACGAGCCTGGAGGAGTCCCTGTTCGCGGATCTGGAGGCCATTTCCGAGGAGCTGAAGGACAGGGAGTTCCAGCTCACACTCTCCGGCGAGTACGACACCCGCAACGCCATCCTGGCCATCCACGCAGGCGCAGGCGGGACCGAGTCCCAGGACTGGGCGCAGATGCTCATGCGGATGTACCTGCGGTGGACGGAGCGCCGTCGCTACAAGAGCGAAATCCTGGACATGTCGCCGGGAGACGAGGCGGGGGTCAAGAGCGCGGTCATCAGCGTGGAGGGCAAGCACGCCTACGGCTACCTGAAGGCCGAGGGTGGGACACACCGGCTGGTGCGCCTGTCGCCCTTCGACTCCGCGCACATGAGGCACACGTCCTTCGCTCTTGTGGAGGTGCTGCCGGAGGCGGAGGAGAGGGTGGATGTCACCATCAACCCGGATGACCTGCGCATCGACGTTTACCGGGCCAGCGGCCACGGCGGGCAGGCGGTGCAGAAGAACTCCACGGCCGTGCGTATAACCCACCTGCCGTCGGGCGTTGTGGTGACCTGCCAGAACGAGCGCTCCCAGTTCCAGAACAAGGAGTTCGCCATGAAGGTGCTGCGCGCCCGGCTGATGGAGCTGGAGATGAAGCGGCGGGCGGAGGAGCAGGCCAGGCTGAAGGGCGAGCACGTCTCGGCGGAGTGGGGAAGCCAGATTAGGAGCTACGTCCTGCACCCGTACAAGATGGTGAAGGACCACCGCACCAGCTACGAGACGTCGGACCCAGCGCAGTCCTGGACGGCGACCTGGACCCACTGATTCAGGCATACCTCCTGGGCACGGTGGGGAGAGAGGGGTATAGGCGAGCCTACTCCGCGCCGGGCGCGGAGGCTAAGGCCGCCATTCTTCCATAGGCTAACATGCCAATATCTTTTGAGCGGAAGTATACTTCTACCATTCAGCAAGTAACCACTGACTGTCTACTAAACTGGGGTAACTCCAGGGTCAAGGGAGCTAATGTATGATAAATTCCGACGAATTATCCGTACTTTCTTCAGAGCCATTTTCGAACGCCGTGTCACAGTTCCAAGACCTCATGAACAACCGCAGTGCTTTGGCTTTCTTAATCGGGGCTGGTTGCAGTAGCTCTTTTTTTTTTTTTTTTTTTCTTTCTCCTCTAGTAAGTGTGCCGGACTCCCCCTCACTAAGGAACTCACTGAGAAGGTTCTGGACAATTGCAAACTCGATAGCACTAGCAAGAACATTCTTACTGCGGTAAGAGATATATTCACTGAAGCTCCCGACGCCCACATCGAAGATTACCTCAGCGAAATTGTTGATTTACTTTCCATCACGGATCGCAGGGCTGAGCGTGGTGTTAAGCAGAATGCCATTGCCGGGGGTGATGCTTCATACACGTCCGAGGATTTGCGCAAAGCAAGCAACCAAATCAAAAGAGCCATCGCGAGTGCTATCGAGAGGAAAGTAGACATAAGAACACACCGTGACTTCGTAGCGTCTGTGCACCAACCTATTCGAGTAGGCAGGCCTGCACCCTTCAGCCGTGGATTAGTTGTTTCACACTACGACCCACCATTATGGGGGATGCACTCGACTCTCGGGAATCGGATGCGGATGGCTTATGGGGCGCAACAGGTGGTGGGAAACCAAGGACAACTTCGATGGATGATGGATTGTTTTTGGCGTGTGATCAAACTTCATGGATCGATTAACTGGCGCCAATTCCCAGATGATCCGCTGCCACGGAGAGTTAGCCCGAATATCGAAGTACAAGACGAAGACAACTTCCCAGTGCTCATTTGGCCATCTTCAACGAAATACCAGGAATCGCAACTGGATCCTTTTGCGCAACTGCTAGACCGAGCAAGAAAAGCAATGAAGCCTAACACCGAGTCACAACGCTTGCTCGTAATATGTGGATATTCGTTTGGCGATAGCCACGTTAACCGGGGAAATAGACAAAGCTCTTCACGAATCCAAGGGCAATTTGACCGTCGCTGCTTTTACAGATGGGAACGCACCAATTGGACAACTGAAGAAATGGCATGAAGATCGTGAGGTTCGAGAACAAGTATTGATCTTTGCGAATCGCGGATTCTTCCACGGCGATACCAAAGTAGATTCGCCAGAGGACCTTCCATGGTGGAAGTTTGAGAATCTGGTAAGGATACTAAAGGGGGTAGCATGAACACCGGCACCCCTAATCCTGGCGAACCAGTTGAGAATCTGGCAATTGGCAAGATTATTGAAGTCGATGGCCGACATTATGGCCTGAAGTTAGACGCGATCGATTCAACAGAGCTATCTCGAGTTTACGCGGGGGAAGTTTATCCAATCGGCCAGTTCGGATCGATTGTCCGGGTGCATTTTGGTCGGCGGATAATTTCATGCGTCGTGACGGCCTCCGCATGAAAGCTAGAACTACGAGGCCGAGCGCGGGGTCTTTACGCCAGCCTCAAAGGACCAGAGGGTTGTTGAGGCTGACCTCTTTGGAGAGGGAGAGTGGAAACCTGATGGTACCAGTAGCGAACCCACGCTGAAATTCGACCGTGGTGTAGCCACCTATCCATTGCCTCAGCAAACATTGTACCTCACTCCGAAGTCAGAACTACGATTCCTTTACGGTCACTCCGACGACGCAGTCATTCATCTCGGTGAACATGTAGGTTCAGGAGGAGCCCCTTGCTACGCTGACCTTAACGAACTGCTTGGAAAGCACACTGCGATTCTGGGTTCGACTGGCACAGGAAAGTCTGCGCCAGTCAGGCCCTCGATTTTCTCCATAGCATCTTGAACAGAGGTAAGCAGGTTGGATATAAGACTTGGCATCCCCGCATCGTAATTCTCGACCCGCACAACGAATACGGCTCGGCGTTTCCATTTCACTCAGGCCTTTCGACGGAGGACGGTACTCTCAAACTGCCATATTGGCTGCTGAATTATCAGGAGACGGTGGCCTTGCTGATCGGCAAGACCGAGTTCGTCGCTACATCGCAGGCTAACATAGTTAGGCAGGCGCTTACTGCAAGCCGCAAAGAGGGAGCCTCAATACTAGGACTGAATGAGAATGCTATCACAGTGGATTCTCCTATACCCTATAGCCTCGACACATTTTGTCAAGAGATTGAAAATGACAAACCGACCCAAGCCAGTAGGCAGGATTCTCACAACTCCATACTTCAGAAGCTTGATGTCTTGCGATCCGATGGTAGGTTGGGATTCTTGATGTCAGGCTGGAACAGAACCGATGGTGACCCGTTTTTCGAGCAATAATCAGCCAAACTCATTGGAGGAGACCACTGAGCTAGGAGCCTGTACGAGTAACCTCTGAGGCCAACGGCTCTTGCAGAGTTACGTGGTGATGTGTACACGAATAACGTTTGCCATACCTTTCGCGTAGTCTGGTTGCGTGAATGTTATGACATATATCGTCTTACTCGGACAGGCTGCTAGAGTGGTTGATCTTTCAGGAGTTCCTAATGAAGTGGCTGGAGTTGCCAGTGCCGTAATAGCCCGGACATTGTTCAACTTGAAAGTCTGGCGAAAACAAAAAGTCGAACGAATCGAGCGGAATAGCGATCCCGTGCTTCTCGTTTGCGAAGAAGCCCATAGGTACGTACCAAATAGCGGCGAAGCCCAGTACGAAGCTGCGCAAGAATCGGTACGGCGGATCGCAAAAGAAGGTCGCAAATATGGCATTGGGTTGATTCTTGTTTCTCAGCGTCCTAGTGAGGTTGAATCCACGGTTCTATCGCAGTGCAATTCGTGGATAATCCTTCGGATCACCAACGAGTCCGACAGAAATCATGTGCGAGGGGTTCTTCCCGACTCTTTGGAAGGACTGACTAAAATGCTCTCTGGGCTGCGGCGCCAAGAAGCAATTTTTGTTGGGCAGGCGGCAACGTTGCCATCAAGAATTATGATCAGAAACCTTCCCCCTGATGAACTGCCGGCCTCAAATGACATTGACTTCGACAGTGGCTGGCGAACCCAGGCGATGACTGATTCACAGCTTATAGACATTGCGAATCGTTGGCGTTATCAGAAAAGATAAATCTGTCCTTTTATAACCCCCGCGCCCTAAATTGACGTGGACGGCGCTGGCTCCTCGGTGTCCGGGGCTGCCTCCGCCTTGCCAATGGCCTCCAGCACCTTGCCCATGAAGACCTCCTCCGGGACTGCGCCGATGAACTGCGTGGACTCGTTGATCACGGTCTTTGGCACTCCCATGACACGGTACCTCTGGGCTACTCTGCGGGAACTCCTGCACCTCACCACGTCCGCCTTGATGTGGTCATTCTCCATCGCCATCATCTGGGCCACACGGGCCACCGAGGGGCAATGGGGTCAGGTGGGTGTTACGAACACCTGGATGTGGACATCCTCGTCCACCAGTTTCAGCTTCTTGCGCGTGTCCGCGCTCAGAGAGGTCCTGGGCTTGGACAGCTCGATTGCGCTTTCGATGATGGTGACGAACTCGTAGCCCGACGGCATTCCGTAGTACTTGACGCCGGTGTTTTCGCCCCTGGTCACCACTATGGCGGGGATGCGCTCTACACCGCTCTCCCGCGCCGTCTGGCTCTGGCTGTAAAAGTCCACCATCTCCAACTCCAGGAGCGGGGAGAGAGATGCCAACTCTTCTAGGATCTGCTGGGTCTGCGGGCAGGTGGGGCACTCCCTCCCCGGAACAAACAACTGTCCCGCCAGCTGGGACGTGAAGAGCTTCAGGGTGATTTTCCGCTTGAGATCCTTCCGAAAGCGCTCCTCCAGGGTCTGGCGGTCTTGCGGCGATATGATGGGCATGTGCAACGCCTCCTTCAGCCTAGCAGCTTAGGGTAATCTTACCATTGCAGAGACGCGGAGGCCAAGTTTACCTGTACCGGGGACGTTGCAGGGATGCGAAGAGCGCTGCTGAGATAATGAGCAGCACCGCAAAGCTCAGGAACGCTAGTCGATAGCTGCCCGAGACGTCGTACACGTATGCGGCGTAGACGGGGCCGAGCATGGATCCGGCCATCTGCACCATCCCTGAGAGGCCCAGTATAGTACCGTATGACTTTCGACCGAAATAGTCGGCCTTGATGGCCGGCATAGTGGCCGCGGAGCAGCCGTAGGATGGGGCGTACAGGGCCACGAACAGAATTATGTGCCAGAGGTTCTGGGCATAGGCGATAACAAGGCAGGAGACAGCGAGGGAGCATACGCTTCCCACGGCTACTATCTTGGTGCCCAGGGCGTCGTTAAGGAAACCGCCGCCCAGCCTTCCGATAATGCTGACCATTCCCATAGAGCCAAGGACGGCGGCGGCAGTGGTCTGGGAGTACCCCAGGTCCTCCACCAGTGGGATGGCGTGCAGGGTCGCGGCCCCGGTGACCAGGAGTCGTATAGAGAAGCCGAAGGACAGGGCCCAGAGGGCTTGGTCTTCAGGGCCTCCATCACAGTCATGCCGATGTCCGGCTCCTTCTCCGCTCCGGCTCGGCTACGTCGGTCGCCTCCTCAGACCCGCCGCGGATGTCCAGGGGCTGGCCGCGCTCCGTCTCCCTCGTTTCGCCGTCCGGGAGCATTCCGTACTGCTCCGGCCTGTGGCGCATCACAAGGGCCGTCGGCACTCCGACGAGAAGCGTGCCTATGCCCGTGACAACGAAGGTCGTTCTCCAGCCGTACATGTCGATGAACCACGCAACCACTATCACTCCGGCCGCTCCGACGGCCACCGCAGACCGCAGCAGTCCGAAGGCGTGCCTCGTCGCCGTATGAACCAGTTGGCCACCGTGGTGTCAATGGCAATCATGGAGCTGAGGCTCCGTCCCCCAGTCACCAATATGATGAAAATTACGTAGAAGGCCAGCAGGGTGTTGATGCGGGACAGGAGTATCATGCCGATGCTGGTCAGGGTGACGCCCAGCAGAATCATGAGTCGCGGCCCAAACTTGTCGACCAGGAACCCCTCTATTCCACCCAGGAACCCGGCCTCCAGCCTGGAGAGGGAGATGGCCCCCGCCAGGGCCGTGCGGCCCCAGTCAAAGTGGTCGGTGAGGCGCTTGTAGAACAGGCTGAGGCCGTAGGAGCCGGTCATGCTGCTGAAGGTCAGGAGCAGGAACGCCGCCAGGACAATCCACCAGCCATAGAAGACCCTTGGTTTGCTCTGCTGCAACTTTGGACCTTCCTTCCCGCGATCTGGTTTAGATAGTTTTCGGGGCGAGGATGCGAAAGGCTGCCGCATCCAACGAACTTGTCAACCTCGCATAAAAATATATCCGAGGGCTGCCCTGTGTCAACAAGGAGAGGGGTCAAATCCACGTTACCGCGCAGTGCAACTCATTGACCCTGGAAGCCCCAGGGAATAAAATAAAAGTACATCATACCTAATTGTTCGAAGGAGCATATATGTACTCAAGCGTGATCGGCAAGATAGAGAAGGCCAAGAGATACGCCGAAGAGAAAGGCCGGGTTACCTTCAGCAGCTTCGTGGTCACCTTCCGTGGGGAAAACGACGACCACAAGGTGGAGTATAACGATGGCAACTTAACCTGCACCTGCACCTTCTTCCCAGGTCACGGCTTCTGCAGTCACTCCATGGCACTCCAGCGAATGCTGGAGGAGATGCTTCCCCCCGTAGAAGTGCCTCAGAACTGATATATCCAACGCGCTCATGGTGAGCTTGGCGAACCATATGAGCGCGAAAGAAAGCATCTCCCGTTCCGCCATTCCTGCGGAAGGAGAGCTTTGAACAACCTCGCTTCGGCGCGACCACCCCCGTCGTCACTCCCGTGCAGACGGGAGTCCACGCCCCACCCCGCCTGGATTCCCGTCCCCGTATCGGAGTACGGGGCAAGCTTCACGGGAATGACAGAGAAGTTCGCCTCTTCTGGTAGATACACCGGAGTTGTGCAAGGATCTACGAAAGCAGGGATTTAGGGCATATCTTGGTATTGGTTGACCGCTCACCTTGAGCGCAGACAAAGGACGCGAGCGGAAGACCGCCACCTCACACCCTTGAGTCCACCGCCTCCTGGATGAGACCCATCACTTCGCTGACCGGCTTGGGGCCAAGGTCCTGGCCGTCACGGAGGCGCACCGACACGGAGTCGGAGTCGATCTCCTTGTCGCCCACCACCAGCATGAATGGCACCTTGTTCAGCTGGGCGTGGCGTATCTTTGCGTTCATACGCTCAGAGCGGCCGTCCACGTCCACTCGAATATCGCTCTCACGCAGCCTGTCCGATACCGCTTGGGCGAAGTCCAGGTGACGGTCCGCAATGGGTATGACCACCGCCTGCACGGGGGCAAGCCAGGTTGGGAAAGCTCCGGCGTAGTGCTCAATGAGCACGCCGAAGAAGCGCTCTATGGAACCCAGGAGGGCGCGGTGCACCATGTAGGGGCGATGCTCATTGCCGTCCTCTCCGATATAGGTCACGTCAAAGCGCTCCGGCAGGTTGAAGTCAAACTGGATGGTAGTGCATTGCCACTCGCGTCCCAGGGCATCCACCATCTTCACGTCTATCTTTGGGCCGTAGAACACGGCTCCTCCCTCATCCACGTCATAGGGCAGGCCGCGGGACTGTATCACGTCTCGCAGCGTCCCGGTCGCCATATCCCAGTCCTCCAGGGAGCCTGCGAACTTTCCGCCTTCGTTCCGGGTGGACAGGTAGACGTGAAAGTCCTGGAACCCGAATGAGCGCAGGAAGAACTGCATGAAGTCCACGCACCGGCCAATCTCATCCGCCACCTGGCCGGGGCGGCAGAAGATGTGGGCGTCGTCCTGGGTGAAGCCCCGCACGCGCAGCAGGCCGTGCAGGACGCCCGAGCGCTCGTAGCGGTAGACCGTGCCCAGCTCTCCCAGGCGCATGGGAAGCTCCCGGTAGCTCCTGAGGGAGCTCTTGTAGATCTGGACGTGGAAGGGGCAGTTCATCGGCTTGACATAATAGTCCTGGCCGTCCACGTCCATGGGGGAGTACATGTTCTCGGCGTAGAAATCCAGGTGGCCGCTGGTCTCCCATATGGTCGACTTTCCGACATGTGGCGAATAGACCAGGTCGTAGCCGGCGCGGTAGTGCTCCCTGCGCCAGAAGTCTTCGATGATCGACCGGACGCGGCCTCCCTTGGGATGCCAGTAGACGAGGCCCGGGCCGTACTCCTCGTGGAAGGACAGCAGGTCCAGTTCTCGAGCCAGCCTGCGATGGTCGCGGCGCTGCGCCTCCTCAAGACGCTCCAGGTATTCATCCAACGCCTCGCCGGACTCAAAGGCCGTGCCGTAGATGCGTTGCAGCATGGGACGTTTCTCGTCGCCGCGCCAGTATGCGCCGGCGATGTTCAGGAGCTTGCAAGCGCTTATCTGCGCTGTGGAGTCCACGTGAGGGCCACGGCACAGGTCCACGAAGTCGCCGTGGCGGTAGACGCTGATGACCTCGTCCGGCGGGAGCTCGTCGATAATCTCCAGCTTGTAGGTCTGGTCGGAGAACATAGCCTTGGCGTCGGCCAGGCTTATCTCCTCGTACACAAATGGAAGGTCGCCGGCGATAGTCTCACTGATGCGCTCTTCGATGGCCTCCAGGTCCTCCGGTGTGAAGGCGCGGGACACCTCGAAGTCGTAGTAGAAGCCGTCATCTGTGGAAGGGCCGATGCCTAGCTTGGCGTCCGGGAACAGTTGCAGCACGGCGTCCGCCATCACGTGGGCGGCGGAGTGTCGCATCCGCTCGCGGAGGGAATGCAAATCGTGGTCGTGATCTAGAGTGGTCATAGCTACATCCAAGTAGCTAGTCTACCCGCAAGCGAGCGAAGTGGCAAGGAGGGGGAGAGGGCGTTTTGTAGCGTCGATTGCTCTCACTTAGCTTGTAGCTTGATGCTTGCGCCATAGGTAACTCGAGAAGGAAGCGCACGCACCCAACATGAACACAGCTTCGTCTCGTCCCACTGGAGACTCTGTGGCTTCAATCAGAGGATGGCGTATGCCTTCCTCGCCTGACGTATAACCATATAGCTTATCAATGGCCTCTCTGAGGGCAGGGTGTATCCTGCCTCTGTTTTCCAATGAATCCAATGCCAGTTTGAGTGATTTGGAGGAACGGGGGGCCAACTGGCGAGCAACTGATTCCACGGCGTGAATGCTCTCCCGCACTGCTCCAGGCCAGTCCCCTTCAATTACGGATTCTCCAGCCTTCTTTGAGATGAGTCTCGGCACCATGAAGGCCCGCCTGCCTAAGTTCCCTGATGGATTCAATCAGTGCTTCGCCTTCCTGATGAGTCACAGCTGGCAGGATGGTCACCGGATTCTCTACGTCTACAACATATGCAAGCCGACTTTTTTCAAATACAGCGGCTACAGCAGAAGGGAAAAAGGTAGGGCAATTGGGGTCGCGCATTATCAATTGGAACAGGTCGAAAACTCTATTGAAGGATAAGCTGTCGAGTATCAAATGCCTATAGAGTACTAACTGTCCATTGGCATCCGCTGAAAATTCGTCTAAGGGTTTCACCAAGAACTCGCTATGGAGCATTCGGAATATGCTTATCCACTGATGATTACCGGATTTCCAGAACCAGAGGCCAGTTCTAAACCTAGAACACGCCGTAAAGGCGAGCAAATCCCAAAGCTTGATCCGAGCTTCTTCGTTTATCTGTTCGAGTGCCAGCGGTCCGGTAAACGGTTCGTAGCCTTGGGCTTGGGAGAAAGTGAGCTTTCTGGGATTCAAACCTTCATTCTCAGTCATTTGCAGCTTCACTCCTGCCAGCCATCTTCAACTCTGTAGCCTCGAACTGCCGCCGCACTTCACCAGTGCCTACGAACTGGGACAGTAAGCGATAGTTACCTGATTCGTAACGTATCCGGCCGGCGACAATTGCCGGGTGGACCCGGGCTTGCGACGCCATTTGCATCACCGCCAGCGGCCCCGGGTCCTCCATGATATCGTCCTCTCCCCAGATTTCTGGCGGTATCAGGGCGTTCTGTGCCCACTGGTCCGCTTCCTGCTCAGTTTTGTCACTCCCGCTGGACTCAACACCTCGCAGGCTGTGGTCGTCCACGAAACCGGCCTCGCTGGTGCAGTCATCCAAGTGGAGGACCACGTGGCCCAACTCATGCTCCAGTGTGAACCAGAAGTTGTCTATGCGGTCGTAGCGCAGGGCCGCGCTGGATATCCGAAATGCATGACGGTATCTGCCGTCGCGAGGAATGAACCGCATGTCGGCGCGCATCGAGGTGCCAGATAGTGTCTTGGCGGGAGATGCTCACATACTCAAGACATGATCCCATTAATGTGCTCAGCACCTGACAGTACTGTTACAGTGTGCTTCTCGCGCGTTCTTTTCCTGCACTGGGCCGTTGCGTATCACCCCGCCTTTGTTGAACGTCTTCTCCACCTCACTGTCGTGTATTCTTTCCCGCGCTGACCAGCTGTGTCTGCGCCATGGCACAGCACCGAGTCGTGTCCTAGAAGTTTGAAAGCTGAGGGGGTATGTACTACACCGCCACTCCTGATACTCAACAGGATGGCTGGTTCTGCCTCGCTTGGGCCAATACCCTTGACCAGCACATGCTCGGACGGGGCGTATTCGTCGTTCGTCTGGCGTGATATCTCCTGCATATCATTCTGCGGTTAGTAGTAGATGGGGGCGGCAGCGAATGCCCGGCCACCGGCGCGTTCCATAAGCCCGCTGATGAGTTCTTCGGCGCGGTCCCGTAGATTGGTAACATCGGGAGCAGCCGCGGCCCTTACCATAGCTTTGAGCGGGAATCTGTGGATCCACTCGATATTAGGCATGGCATCCGGCAGGCTTGCGCCCAGATACTATGGAACAGGAGCCTCGACGGGGTTTAGTTAGAATCGGGCCCCAAGATGGCTGGTGAATAGGAAATGCGCGAGCATCGACATTGCGATGGGCGCCTCTTGCCTTGTGACACGCCCTCTGAGACCTGGCAGGAGCTGCGATCAAGGAACGCAACTCGCGGCGGCGCGTTAGCCCGCCTGATAATCTATCGGGAACGTCAATGGCGTTCAAGTGCGAGTGGGAATCCAATGTCACGGGTCTCGATTCGTAGATCTCCACAAGGTCGGACAGCACTTCCAGCTCGATCATGCTGGGGTGGTCTGGGTTCTCGATCTGCTCTTCGGCGGCAGAGAGTTCATCTAACAGTTCCCCGACACGAGCCAGGGCCTCTTGTAGTGT